TCGATTTGTCACGGGCCTGAATAATATCCCGTCGACTATAATTCCACAACAGACTGAAGATAATCTGTTTGAAGAAGGCGGCATTGTTGTTAAGTCTTTCGGGTAATAATAAAAATAATAATGAAAACAAGAAGGAATTTGGGTTCCAGTTCCTTGTGCTCCGCATTGGGGTTTATTACCCTCCGCTTATTTTTACAGCTCGACAGGGTTGTCACCGACAAATAACGGAGTCGGATTTGGAACAAAAAGCAAGTAATTTCTAGAGTTCCTTACAGGTTATATATTTCCTTATTATCAAATTTTATTTGTAATACAGTTTTTCATTTTGGCCTCACTCCTACGCTCTATCATCTCACTCTATCTATGCGATTAAACAACGCGTTAACATAGAAAATTCTCGATGACAGAAGGAGGCTAAATTGCTCACATAAATTTTGGAAGGGGTCCACGACCCTTAAACCCTAGATAAGACCCGAGTTGGTCCTTCCTCCAGGTCATTCTAGCACAACAATAATCTTGCTTCGGGTCATTTACTCCACTTATCTTTCATCCGTGCAGCATTGCCTGGGCAAATACAAATTATGTAAAGGTACTGTTTGTAACGAATTACAATAAAATAAAGTTTGATATACTTTGAATTGATTATATGTGTTTATGTACGTACTAAGTGTACATACTAAATACAACACATATCACTTTCTACATATTTTCTTGTTCTCTTTTTTTACTTATTAATTAATTTTTCTTTATTTCTAATTCTCAATTTCAATTAAGACGTAATGCTATCTCATAAGTAGGATTTGACCTGTAGAAAAGATGAGGATGGTTTTGACAAGTTGAAAAATACAGGGTGATGCATTGGTTTCTTTATATTAATTCTTTTTCTTTTGGTAAAAAGACTACTATGTTTCTTCTAATGTATACACTTAAGGTTACCGTTCTTTTAAAAGCATTTCTTAAAAAATAATAATATAATTTTAATCAAGACAAGTGTTATTAAACAAATTAAAATAAATGTCAAAGATGTAATTTACTTTTAAATTTTATATTATTTGTTTTCTGATGAATTTTAAAATAAATTAACTTCATCAAATTCAATATTGCATGTAAAAATGACTTCTATTTTAAACAAGAAGAAATGATTTAATGCCTGATTTTTTTTAAATTTCCCATAACTTTAAAATGTCTTATTTCTATGTATCGATATTTTAAAAGTTTAATTTAGGACGTTGTAAAAGCTTGATTTTATTCGAGTTGGATTAATCAAGAGATTTTTCTCACTCTCTCTGCTCTATTTTTGTTTCAATTTTTGAAATATTTATTCAGAAATCGTGAGATGCGGTCAGGTGTGATGTAGGTTTCAGAAAAACATTTTCTTTATCGTGCCAACGTTTCGATCTTTATTGAGATCATCTTCAGGGCCTGGGATTTACAAACATTGTTTACATATAACAATTACATTTTGGATGTGGAAAAGTGAATTTATACAATGCAAAATATATTTTTTTTTAAATTTTTTTATTAAAGTATTTTAGAAATACTTTAATTGAATATATAAAAAAAATATATTTTGCATTGTATATATTCACTTTTCCACATCCAAAATGTAGTAATTGTTATATGTAAACAATGTTTGTAAATCCCAGGCCCTGAAGATGATCTCAATAATGATCGAAACGTTGGCGGGACAAAGAAAAAGTTCTGAAACCTACATCACACCAGACCGCATCTCACGATTTCTAAATAAATAAAAAATTTCAAAATCTTTGCAGGATACCCAAAACAAGTTTTAGAACCATGCATTATGGTTTAAATTTTTATTAATTGTTATTGGGAAAAACATAGAAATTCTGCAAACAGTTAAGGCATAATTTTCAATACTATATTACAGGGCTCAATGAATTTCAATGGTTACTTCTTCAACGATCTCCTTTTTTAATGAGTTTTGACGTTTTTAACTGAATTCAGATTTGTGCGAACCTTGGTCAACATTTGTCGACTGTTTTGGGTTTTTTAAATTATCAAAAAATAGTTTAATTATTCATCATTCATTTTGACGGTAGAAATAAACTAAAAGAATTGATTTAATATTCCAGAACGCTTGGAACTACAGCTACAAATTAAATTCAAGTTTAAATTCGTATATAATTCTCTATTTTTTTAGTCTACAACTCCAAATTAGTATTTTGTTACTATTTTTTCTTCTGATTTTTATTGGTATTACGATAATATTTTTTGGCTTGTTTTAAAATTCAATGTCATTTTATGGTGTTATATTTTTTTATAAAAGTAAATTTAGAAAAGATAACAAAATATTACATTTTTTTTACAAAATACCAAAATAATACTTGTAATGGCATGAACTAGTCGCGTGCCAGTTGACCCTTACATATTTACACTTAAATAAAACTTAAATTAACGTACAAATTATAAACTTAACATAAAATTATCTCTGCAATTCAGTTCATCTATAATAAAAAAATCTTAATAAAAAAACAAAGAAGTTTTTCTCCAACTTCCTACTGATGGTAGCCCCATACTTGTGTCGCATAACACATCCCAGCCTAGAGGCGGAATTAGAACCTTCAAATTTACTTTTTAGAGGATCTTATCCTATATCAAGAATACTGTTTCAGGTTATATTCAATCCTTGTTTAATAACCCTATGTTTATTGGCCAAATGCATTTTGAAGGGATGGTTAGGGATGGGTAGGGAAAGTAGAGGAGTCAACGTTATACCTAAATATTTGTACTCTTTTACTACCTCTATTCTTTCATTTTCTAAAAGCCATCGTTCATTCGTTGATGGCCATTTCTAAACACCATAATTTTAGTTTTATTTAAATTTACTGACAAATTCCACATTCGGCAGTATTCTCTCAACCTGTTTAACATCTTTTGAAGTTGAACCGTTTCAATACTCATCAAAATTACATCATCTGCACAGTTTACATATGATACTCCGACAAACAGACCTCCACCCAAAAACTCGGTTCAATCGTTAATAAACAGCGGGAACAGAAGAGGGAAAAGCAGACAGCCCTGCCCTACACCCACTCTAGTTTCAAATGTACTTGTGAACTCTCCCCTACACCACACAGCACTCTCTGCCCCGCTATACAACGACTTTAATACCTCAAGAAAATTACTGGAGATCCCATAATTATACAGTTTATAGAAAATGGCCATTCTCTTTGGCGAATCGAACGCCGACTTAAAATCAACAAAGTAAACTTTTATACGTTTTATATATAATTTCAATTTTATAGTGTTAGTTAAACTAAAAATATTGTCCACTGCGGAATATTTTTTCCGAAATCGTGCCTGGCTCTCTACCAAGATGTTATTTAATTACACCATTCTTCTAATCTATTTAGTAGTATCCCCATAAATATCTTAGAAACAATGTCAGTAACGGTGTTATGGTGTTATATTAAGATATATGAAATAATTTCAACGCCCTTCGGTAGATGGATTTTATCCCAGTCTGTTTATTCCATTCAATCGTTTTGTTTTGATTGGCCATTATTGTACTAAAAGTATCTAATTGCTTAATAGCACAACATTTCACCCAAAGCTTCAACAGCCTCTGGCCAACCTAAGAAACAAATTAGCAATACTCAGGTTTCAACTGAAATATGTATAAAGTGTATCAACTCTTAATTGTTAGTTATTAGTTTTTTTTTTTCAAAAAAGGGTGTTTTTGTAATAAACTGACAGGAAAACATATTTCAGATGAAGAGTACACTCAAGCAAAACAAATATATAGTCGTTGAATTGCCGAACTATTGAGATTGTTGATTGAACTTAAAAAAAAAATATTTTGCATTGTATAAATTCAGTTATTGCCACGTCCTACATGTATTTGTTAAATGAAAACAATTTTTAATGTTCTCAATAAAGATCGAAACGTTGGCACGATAAAGAAAATGTTTTTCTGAAAACTACATCACACCAGACCGCATCTCACGATTTCTGATTAATTATTGATTAACGGTCACTAATCACCACACATTTTGAAATACTTTTTATTTTTATAAATGCATTTAAAAGAAAGATCAATGAATTTATACAAATAATAGAAATTACAAGCAAAAAATTCATAATGGACTTTAAAAAAAAATCAAAATAAAAGAAAGGAATAAAAGAAATTACAAAAAAAAATGCATTTTCGAAAATGCAACAAAACATTTGAACGCAACTAACGGGTTTCTAAAACTGATAGAAAAAAACAGATGAGAGAGAGTGTGAAAATAAAAATTGAGAGAGAGAGGGAGAGAGAGAGAGAGAGAAAGAGAGAGATAAAACAGTGGACAGATTGGTACTTAAACAATAGATATTGAAAGGTAATGTAAAAAAAAATAATTAAAATATGGGTAAAAAGAAGGTACGATCATTGAGATAGGGAAAATTAAAGTTTAAGAGATTGAAGAGAATTGGGAAGTGTTTGCATAATCAATAATCTACTAAAAATGCTTTGTTCTTGAATAATTCGTCTTTTTAAATTGGAATTAATACAGCCTGTTAATGAGAATTTCTATTAAAATTTTAATGTGTTCTTCTTTATAGTTCTATCTGTTAATTTTTTACGGATTAATAATATTAACCGAGACTGTTGTTTCTTATTAAATTAGTGTTAAACAAAAAAAGGTACAGTTGAGCTTTTTCTCCATTTTCATTCTTGTCAGATAAGGTCTGTTTAAAAATGGTTACAAAAAACGTAATTTGACCGTTTTAACAAATCCCGGCAGGATTGTAACTTCTCATTAGAATTGTACGGAAAAAATCCAGACGCTTTCAAATTAACGATTAAAATCCTTTAAGGATTTCCGAGTAACTAGAAGAAAGAAAGACATTACAACTAATACTCTCTTATCCTCTTACTCTCCACAATGAGCGGTTTGCCTCGGTTGAATTTTTTTTAACTCTTTTAATCTTCCTTCTCTAATGCTTCAATCAGACACAAACAATAATTGAAATTGCATTCTTTTGTTTTTTAGTTATTCGAGACTCGTCGGTGCGGCTTACCTGACGTCGAGCGGAACGCGACGCACCAAGGGAGAAGGAGGAAAAGGTTCATCCTGACATCGCAATCTTGGAAAAAAAGACGTCTTACTTATTTGTAATTATTTCTTTTTATATTACACAATTTATATTATACACTTAATTGTATATAGCTAATAAATTGAAAAACTAGGATACTCCGAACATGATTTTCAAGTAGTCCTTTTGGGGGAAAATTAATGTTCACATGATCATATCAAAGGGGTTTTCAAACCACCATGGAATTGGTAAAGGCTTATAATGCCTACCGAATTGCGGCACTACCAGCAGCGTGTTTTTAGCTTCAAACAGTAGAAACTTCATGGCAGTTGAAAATTGAATGGCATTTCTTTAAATGTAATTTGACCTTGCGTTAAACTGCAGATCTAACCAGTTTATAATTAATTAAAAACCTGTTTGTTAGAATTTACCTTGTTAACTTTAAATAACTCTTGAAAACACTTATCTTGATATTTGTATTATTAGTTGTCAAATGAAAAGGAACAGTCGCTATATTCATGTATTCTTCTCGAACTTTGGTTCTAAAAACTAAAATGCTAAAACAACAAATAAATAAACACAAATTATAATTTTTTTATCTCGTAAAAATTACATCATTATTGTTATGTTATAATTATGTTATTATAATTGATTTTCTATCTTGATCCACTATACTCCATAGATGTAGACGACCAAAAAAACACTTTAATAAAAAGTAGTCTTTATTTTTTTAAAAAACAAGTATGGATTTCGGGTGATGCCCCCTTTAACATCTTCAGCTCTTTAGTCTTTAAATTTAAGAAAACGTTCAATATTAAAAAAAACATGTTTACTAATTAATTGTCAAATGAAAAGTAACAGTCGTTCTTTTCGTGTATTCTTCTCGATCTTTGGTTCTAAAAATTAAAATACTAAAACAACAAATAAATAAACACAAAATTATAATTTTTTTATCTTGTAAAACTTATATTATTATATACTGATAATATTGTTGTTATTTTATTATAGTGTTATTACAATTGATTTTTTATCTTGATTCACTCTAGTCTATAGAAGTAGACAACCAAAAAAACACTTTCATAAAAAGTAGTCTTTATTTTTTTTTAACCAGTATGGATTTCGCGTGGTGCCTGCTCCACCCTCTTCAGCTCATTTGACTTTAAATTAAAAAAAAAATCAATATTAAAAAAAAAACATGTTTACAACTAATCGACACTGTTAAATAAATAAAGACTACTTTTTAAGAAAGTGTGTTTTTGGTCGTCTACATCTATGGAGTACAGTGCATCAAGATAAAAAATCAATTGTAATAACAATAGAATAAAATAACAACAATATTATCAGTATATAATAACATAATTTCTTAAAAAAAATTATAATTTGTGTTTATTTATTTATTGTTTTAGTATTTTAGTTTTGAGAGCCAAAGTTCGAGAAGAATACACGAAGAGAACGACTGTTCGTTTTCGTTTGACAGTTAATTAGTAATTATTCGGAAATCGTGAGATGTGGTCTGACAGCATCTCACGATATCTGAATAATTATCGATTAACGGTCACTAATCACCACACGGTAATTAGTAAACATGTTTTTTTAAATATTGAACTTTTTTTAAAATTTAAAGTCAAAACAGCTGAAGAGGGTGGAGCTGGGGTGTGAGCATCACCCGAAATCCATACTGGTTAAAAAAAAATAAAGACTACTTTTTATGAAAGTGTTTTTTTGGTCGTCTACTTCTATAGACTAGAGTGGATCAAGATAAAAATCAATTTTAATAACAATAGAATAATATAACAACAATATTATCCATGTATAATAATATAATTTTTTACAAATTATAAAGATATCTATTTAACATATACTGCTACTTCCAGTTGAAATGTGACAATTCTGTCTTACTTTCGAATTAAAAGATTTGCATGATGTTTGTTTCAAACCTTTCTAGATTTCAAATCTCATGGTATTTGTTATGTGATGATAGTTTTTTTAAATTTTCAAAAATGCAACCCTTTGTTGTTTTGTTTAAGTTTGACCAATTGGTCGCCCAAACTCACCAGAAGCGGTGTGATGACCGAGTTGAGGAAAGCATTCGACGCCTGGTCAAAATATTCCAGGCTTGTTTTCACCGAAAGCAGGACTCCAAGCGAGGCTGACATAAACATCGGTTTCTATCGTGGCCATCACGGAGATAAGTATGTCAAAACTACTAAAGTATCAAAATACTTAACTTTCATTAATATTATTTGTACAATTATTGTATAATTCTGCTACTTTTGGTCACAGATAATTGTTATTATTTAGCGAGTTTTACTACGTTTTTAAGTTAATCACAATATTTGTTAAATTGATGACGCGTTTCATAGAAAGCGTTGGGTATAATGTTTGTCTTGTATCAACTTTATCACACCATTAGCAAGATATTTCTCGTTTTGTGTTTGTGCAATCGTTTGGCACCGCATTGTTCTCTTATTTTGTTAGCTTACCAGTAACCACCACCACATAACGATTTAGTAGACAAAAATATATTTTTACAGGACACATAAACAAAAGATAAAACAAATCTTTTAATTGATCTCATTTAAACCTAAAGCATTTTTTTCTTGATGAAATAAGTCTTTAATCCTTTCGCTTTTCCATCTCAAGGATAAACGTAATGCAATTAATGCTCTTATATAATAATCCGGCGTAACGATTTGCGCAAGTAATTAGTTCTTATGTAAAGGAGTGGTCTCAAGTTAAAGTTAAGTCCCGCGCTGGCTTAGATTGGTGGTTCAGCTTGGCAGATCAGCCCGGAATTTGCAGCTTGTCGCCATCCTCCCGGACTCATACACTGACAAATGTGTGGTGATTAGTGACCGTTAATCGATGATTATTCAGAAATCGTGAGATGCGGTCTGGTATGGTGTAGGTTTCAGAAAAACATTTTCTTTATCGTGCCAACGTTTCGATCTTTATTGAGACCATCTTCAGTGCCTGGGATTTACAAACATTGTTTAAATTTAACAAATAAATGTAGGATGTGGATAAAAGTGAATTTGTACAATACAAAAAATATATATTTTTTTAATTTATGTTCAATAAAAGTATTTATATTCACACTCAAACACTTTGAGTGAGTACAAATACTTTGAGTGAATATAAATTAAAAAAGTATATATATATTTTGCATTGTATAAATTTACTTGTTTCCACATCGTACATGTATTTGCTAAATTAAAACAATGTTTGTAAATCCCAGGCCCTGAAGATGATCTCAATAAAGATCGAAACGTTGGCACGATAAAGAAAATGTTTTTCTGAAACCTACATCACACCAGACCGCATCTCACGATTTCTGAATAAACACTGACAAATTTTAAAAATTGTAATTATTCAAAAAAAATTTATTTTTAAAAAATTATTATTTTAAATTCTTTTTAGCATAGTTTATTATGTTTTAGTACTCCGTTTGACGGGAATGGAAACGTCTTGGCACACGCCTTTTATCCGAACGACGGTCTCGGAGGTGACATACATTTCGACGATGACGAGGATTGGACTATAAACCCTGGAGAGTTCGACGAAGGTAAGATAGTCGTGAATGGTCAAATTATATATATATTTTTTAAAATTAAATTATTCATTTGAGTTCAGGTGTTGATTTTTCTGCCGTGGCCCTCCACGAACTCGGCCATTCCCTCGGCCTGTCCCATTCTCCTGAACAAGGATCGATCATGAACCCATATTACAAGGCGAAAAAGGAGCTCGGCTACGACGACATACTCGCAATGCACGAGTTGTACAGTAAGTGGTATTTTTTAATTAAAATAATTTCCGAAAATCTCTTGGGAAATGGTTTACGACCGGAAAGGAATTCGGGGTGCCGGTCCCTACCGAATTTATAGCGTGATTTTACACACTGCGGTAGTAAAACGCGTCTTAAAACCCCTCTGAGGAATTCTGACCATGCGTGTGTGACCTTTCTGCAATCGATCATTTAAACCGTAAATTCTCACCGGCCAATGACAGCTCGCTAACCGTCAATCACGTTTAATTAAATTGATTTTCACAAATCAGTAACCCATCATGTGATCGGTGTACAAGACGATCCTAAAAATAAACCATGACCGTTTGCATTTCTAATTTCTTCTTTCTAAAAGTGCAATAGTATCATCGGATCGATAATGTTTAACGTTGACTCCCTATGACCCTAAATTTATTTCTCCCATTCCAGCTCATTCTTTGTTTATCTTTGGGTAGATGTAGATATAGTTTTAGGGTATAGTATACTGCGCCTTAAGAGCTATTGTATCCCCCGTGCTCTGCCTAAAGCACATCGGTGAGTCCTGTTTCATCAAGAAACTTGATTAATAGGCCCGGTTTCAGTGGTTGAAGCTCTTCTATGGTCACATTATACATCCCAAAACATTTCCTCCTGCGGGCTAGTGTAGCTCCGCAGTTTGTTAGTAGATGTGTTGGTGTCTCTTCGGCCTCTGCAGAATCTGCATGTGCCATCTTGGATTGTTCCAATTTTCTTTAAGTGTCCATTTAACTTGCAGTGTCCTGTTAGATATCCTATTATGATACGCAGTTTGTTCCTGCTTCCCTTGACACATTCTGTAATTTCTTTCCTTCCAAAATTGGTTAAATGATTCTTGGATTATCTGTGTCCAATGAGTGAATTCCATAGTTCCCTCATTTTCTTTTTGTCTTTCTGGGATATTCGTTAATAGTGTGGGTTCCTATGCCACAGAAGGGTTCGGGTCTTATCAGCGGTGTAACAGCCCCTTTTCTTGCAAGGTTGTCCGCTTTCTCGTTGCCTTCCACTCCCATGTGTCCTAGGACCCAGCAGAGGCTGATTTTATTCTGCGTACCTAATATGGTTTTGCACTTTAGCACCATATTTGAGCTTAGTGCTTTGATGGCTGTTTGGGTATCTGACATGATAGCTATATTCTTGTTTTTGTACCCTTTACTTAGGTTGAGTTGGGTACATCTTTCGATTGCATGAATCTCAGCTTGGAAGATACTGGTGTATTTTCCCATGGGTTCCGAGTATTTGGTTCAAGGTGAAATACTCCTGCCCCTGTACCTTCTTGTGTTCTAGATCCATATGTGTACCAAAGGATGGTGCCATTCTTAAAAGAGGTGTTTCCCTCTCGTTCCCATTCTTTTTTGGTACCTAGGTTTATTCGAAAGTTTTGATTACATTCAAACATCCTGTTCATGTCGTCCCTCGGGGTCATGAGTATCGGATTGTCTTTCCATAGTTTGTTGTTATCTCTCCATTTTAGTTTTATTCCTGTAGTATCAGGCACTATCCTCTTTGGTAAAATTAATGATGGTTTTCTGCGCTGTACTTATTACCATGTGGTGTAGGGGGATTAATCCCAGAATTTTTTCCATGCTAATTGTATGACATGTTCTCATTGCTCCCGTTATGCAGATGCATGCAAGTCTCTGTATTTTTGTGAGTTCTTTTCTTTTAGTTACTTGTTCTGCTTTATCAGCCCAGGCTATTGCTCCGTATGTAAGTAAAGGTCTTACTATCATGGTGTACATCCACAGCAGGGTTTCCGTTCTGCATCCCCAGTTCCTTCCTGTTATTCTTCTGCACGCCATCAAAGCTCGCTTCGCCTTATCTTTGGGTAGCTGCTCCCTTGCACATTCCATTTTATTGTCAGGTTTCTTTCTATTACTACCTACCTCTTCATCTACCTTTTCTTTCGCACATTGTTTATTACTTATTTTTTCTCTCATTCTCTCTCTCTCTCACACACACACACACACACACACACACACACACACACACACACACACACACACACACACACATACCTGACCCACATCACTTATTAATATCTTTCAATATCGCTAATCGTAATTCTTTTATCTCTTCTTTTGCTCATTGTTCTTAATTCTCATCTATCCTATCTCCTATAGGCTATTGATGTTTCTATCTCTTCTCTATCAGTTTGATCTTTCTACCTTACCAGCTTACTCTCTGCCACTCTCGTTTTCCCAAATTCTTAATCACTCTCTCTCTCTCTCTCTCTCTCTCTTTCTCTCTCTTATTTTTCATTCACTTTTTTCATTATGTCACTTTCTCTCTTGCTTTCTTTCTCTGCGCCTCTCACATTCTTTCTCTCTCTCGGGTACTCCCCATTTTATACACTTATTCTTATATCCTCTTTCTTTGGGAGACCCATCGGAATCATAAGGGAAACAATATAAGACACTCGAAAATTCTACATTTACTGAGTAAGGTTAATAACCAACTACTAAGCGTTAGCGACAAAAAGGTTAAAACACCTTTGGGGAAAAAACACTTTCAGGTAGTTACTCCATGTGATTATAACTATAATGCGGATGATGACCATAATAGCATAGATTGCTTCACCGATGGCTCACTCATTAAGGACAAGGGAAGCGGTGCTGGTATACATATACCCAAATTAGGAATCAGCATCTCCTCCCCTCTTGGTAATAACACCTCAGTCTTTCAGGCTGAGGTCTGGGCCATCAATGTTTGCTGCAGAACACTCATGGATAATAATACTAAGTGAAAAGATATTAGAATTTTTTCAGACAGTCAGGCCAGTCTTAAGTCATTACAAAAAGAGTTATCTACATCTAGGCTGGTAGAGGAAACCGTTGAACTTATCAATAGGATAACTACTATGGACGAGAATAGGGTAACCCTCATATGGATACCAGCTCATAAGGGGCACTATGGCAATGAAGAGGCGGACAGCCTGGCCAAAGAAGGCTCAAATACTGCGTTTGTCGGGCCACAACCGGTATTACCCCACTCTATAAGCACAGCGAAAGTGAGTATTTATTGCTGGGGCATGAAACAATTCCTTAAAGAATGGAGGACATAGGCAATCGAAGGAGATTCTGAAGGAAATCAGGAAAAGAAGCGAAATGGTTATTCTCTAACTCAAGGAGGGGAATTAGTAGGCTGATAGGTATCCTAACGGGCCATTACACCTTCAGAAGACACCTCTTCATAATGGGTATTCTAACAGACCCCTTTTGCCGCTTCTGTGAAATAAAAGAAAAAACGGCTCGACACTACCTCGCAGAATGTGATAGTTATGCTAGGGAAAGATTTGAAACTTTTGAAGGAGAGGACATTGCCAAATCACTCCACAAGATAAAATGGTCCAAAATCTTGGGGTTTGTGAACAACTCCAAGAGGTTTATGCAGGACACGTGAACCGACCAAATCTCGGACCTTTTAGGGATGGGGTACGGGCCTACTTAGGCTTTTAACCCCTCGGGTCCTGGTCGCCCGCCCTGCGTAATATATATCCTTTTTCTTTCTCTCAATACTTCTTTCTCTCTCTATTTCTGTCTATGTATATGTGACTCTTTCTCTCTATCTCTTCATTTCATTCATTCTTTTTTTATTTCTCGTTCACTATCATTCTCTCCACTTTTTTTTAACATATTCCATCCGATTACTCTTTCTAAATCCTTCTTCCTTTCACTTTCACTCTCTTTGTTCTTACCTCAAGGTAAGGGAATGAGCCTTACTTTCTATCCATTCTTGTTCCTGTTCTTCTCTCTCTCTCTCTCTCTCTCTCTCTCTCTCTCTTTCTCTGTATCTATCTCTCTATCTCTCGTACTTCCTTTCCTTACAAAAAAATTATATTCTTAATTATAACATTATAACATTTTAAGTATGTACTTTGGTTACCTGACTATAGAGCTTTATCATCTCACAAGCGACAACAGGAAATATAATAGTATTTTAAATATTTTTTTTTAGAAATCAAACGATGGTAACATGAGGTGGCTCGAGTACCCTGTCTCAGTTGCCTCCCTGACGACTCTCTCTTTCTCACTCTCACACACTCACTCTATCTCTCTCACTTTCTCCCTTCATGTATTCTCTGTTTGCTTAAAAACACTTTCTTTTTCAACAAAGAAGAGATTGACTATTGAAAAATTATTTACAAAATCCAATTGTAAACACAAGTGTGAGATTTTGTCGGGGTTCTATTTACCTCTAATCCTTTAAAATGGACAACATATTGTTAATGTATTACTGTATTGTACACGTTTCAAATAAATCATTGTTGAAAAGAAAAAAATGTTGGATGTAAACTTGCAAAATGAGAAAATCTATTGAATAAACAAATATAAAAAATTATTTATGTTGAGTTGTGTTATTTAAATAAAAGATGGAATTTTCAGTTTCCAGGAGGTTGGAAGAGGAAGGTGACAACAGTGACCATCAGGATGACGACGGGGCCACTCGGGAACCGGAAGTCCCAAACTTGCCCACCACTCCACGATACACTGAGCGGCCTCATTTCCCGGATCGTCCTCATGACCGGCCTCGTTATCCGCATTATCCCCGTTTTCCGCATTATCCGCACTACCACCATCCTTTTCACCACCACCACAGCCACCATGACCATCCAAGGCCTACGAGGCCGACAACGGAAGAAACAAGACCGACCTACGAATACACGACTGAGCCCACTAGAAAAACTACGAACTATTTTGAGGTAAATTTTAAGAAATAAATTTTTCTTTCCATTTTGCAGTTTTCAAAATTCAGGATTTTATCAGACCTATTGCGACTATCAATTTTCTCTAAAAAATTTGGCCTAGGATGCCTAAGGAATGTAAATTTGCGGTTTTTTTCCACATTGATACATAGTTAAGTAATAAGCTCCTTTCAAAAAGATTTGTTAAAATGATAATTGTACTATAATGAAACAGCGATATTAATTTCGTCCCTATCTAAAAAATATTTTAGCCTACTACTTGACTATGAGTATCAGCCATTATTTTCTGAACTTAGCTACAAATACACATACATACATACAATACATTGAAAATACATGCACAGCAATGAAAGAAAAAACATATTAAAAATACATTCACTAGTTTTCGTGGTCCGCTTGACCAATTAATATCTTTCAATTAATTAAAATGGCAAAAAGGAGGAAAAATTCAATAGGTGTGGTTGAGATGGGAAGTTAGTTTCCGAGTGGATTGAAGTCGCGATAGCTCAAGTGGTAGAGCAGCGGCGTATCAAGCCGAAGGTCGTGGGTTCGAATCCCGCTCGTGATACTGACTTTTTTATCTCAACTAAAAACCTTAATTAATTGAAAGATATTAAAAATAATTAAACATTTTTTTCTCCGCTTTAGACGCTCATTAGGAAACACGCTCGGACCCTTACCTAACATTTTGTGATCTATTATCATTAAAAAATAAAAATTAAAAAAATAAATAAAGAAAAACCGAGCCTCCTTTTGTATAAGCTTATTACATGAAGGTATTAGTTTTGAAAATGAAAAGAAGTTAGAAAAAACCTCTATTACTTATCAATGCGATATAAAAATGTTTTGTTGCAAAATTTAAGAATAGTGACTCACTTGGAAATGGCAAAAGCATTCTTGTTTTCTTTCTGCACATTTTGGTATAATAATTTTGTTATTCTAATAATGAAAAGTTTTTAATTTCATTTTTGAAATTGCCAAGTTGGCAAACTCAACACCTGGGTTGAGATAACGTCTTTTTGCAGTTTAAAAATGAATATTAAAATACTTTCCTTTATCAAAATTACAAAATAATTATACCAAAGTATTTAGGGTTGTTTATATTTTTAATGAAGCCTCGAGTTTTAATGGAGAAGCAAGATGAACATTGAGATGTAGAACACATTATTTGTCAAAACCGACATTCTTCGGCTTTTCGAAAAGCTCCTCGTAATTATTAATAAATAAAAAATTGAAAACATTAATACATGATAACGAGTAAAATTCTCATTTAGGACATTAACACCTAGAACCAACACAGAAAAATATCTTGTGAAACTTGATAAAACATTATTGTTATCAATTAAACTATTTTTAATCGATAGTAAAACATTTTTGATATTTCAGTATTAATCAAGGTGAGTATCATGTAAATTTTATTCAAACAACAAACCGAATAAGAGTCAAGAGAGGAAAACCTTTTGGACACTAACACTAAATAACAATATAGAAAATAATAGACGAAAACACTGTAAAACTTAGAAACTATAGTTTTTTTTGTTTTTTTCCCCCCTGCCGGTTAACTACTAGGGTCATTGCCGGCACCTCACGTATATAAGCTTCTCGCATTTTTCTTTATTTCATTTCAGCTTTATCTCTATCTCATTCACTATATCTCTTCTTTTAATTTTGTTTCCTACCGACTAAACAGAGGAGTATCTTGTTGCTCGTTCCTACCATCCCAACGTGGTTTGTAAAAATACTTCAATATTTACCACTCACGCTAAGAAAATGATTACCTAATCTACAGTTAGCAGGGCTCAGAGTACAGGTGCACGACTGAGATCCTGGCCCTACAACTAAATAAAAAGTCGATAAGATAGTCATAATCCTACCGACTTCCTTCCATTCGTGCTAATAAATACATTCATACAGTATGTACAAAATTTCATTCATCCATTAGACTAATTTTCTTTTGACGGGCTTGTGGAGTACTCGATATTCCTCGACATCCACGTCCATTTACACAAAACATTCACGCTAATAAATACATTCACATTGGAGAGGTCGCAGCATCTCGGTAGTATTACTACAACGATAGCGGTGACCTGTCCATCACATCATACAACAAATAAATAATTACCTGAACTAATTTGGCGGGCATGTGAGCTACTCGATATTCAGTCACAGCCATACGTTGACATACCTCATCACCCACGCTAATAAATACATTCACACTGCAAAATGGAGATATACCACGTGTGGTTGGTTATATGTATCCATACGCATTTATCAATTTTAAGTACTAAATAAGATTATCTTTGAAGTCACTGTTATGCTTAAGAACTATTTCCAGATTAGATGGTAGATCACACCGTTCTCGGTACTCTCTTAACTTAATACATTCCTCTAATAGGTGTCTCACCGTTACCGGACGTAGTTATCGTCGAATAAACTGTTCTGTATTGATGGTATAATATTTTGTTTTGTATCCGGTATCGATCGAGGAGTAGAATTTTTCGTGAATTCTAACCAAACACCGAAAAACTGTGTGCTCAAAAATCCCGTTTTCCCCATAAAACTCGAGGACTCAGTAAAAATATAAACAATCCTAAATACTTTGCTATAATTATTTTGATTTCGATCGAATTTCGATAAAGAAAAGAATACGGCTCGTGACACTGAGTTTTTTATCTCAACCAATACCTTACACAAAGATTAATTAATTGAAAACTAATTGAAATATTTGGTTTGTTTATTTTCTACTTATTGTACGCAGTTCTACCGTAAACTTAGTTCACATGCGGAAGGGATTAAATTTCAAACCGGCTCAACCAATTTTCAAAATGTGTGGTGATTAGTGACCGTTAATCGATATTTATTTAGAAATCGTGAGATGCGGTCTGGTGTAATGTAGGTTTCAGAAAAACGTTTTCTTTATCGTGCCAACGTTTCGATCTTTATTGAGATCATCTTCAGGGCCTNGTAGAAATACTTTGATTGAATATATAAAAAAATATATTTAGCATTGTATAAATTCACTTTTCCACATCCAAAATGTAATTGTTATATGTAAACAATGTTTGTAAATCCCAGGCCCTGAAGATGATCTCAATAAAGATCGAAACGTTGGCGGGACAAAGAAAATGTTTTTCTGAAACCTACATCACACCAGACCGCATCTCACGATTTCTAAATAAATAAAAATTTTGAAAATCTTTGCAGGATACCCAAAACAAATTTTAGAACCATGCATTATGGTTTAAATGTTTATTAATTTTTATTGGGAAAAACATAGAAAGTCTGCAAACAGTTAAGACATAATTTTCAATACTATATTACTTCCAGGATGTCAAAAATTTAAATTTAAATTTTGGATTGAGCCGGTTTTGAATCTGTATAGCTACAGCCCTTGTTCTGATCAATTTGGTAGAATAAGTAGAAATTCCTCCCACTTTACTGGTCCAAGTCCCACCTATTTTCGTAAACTTAAATCAATAAAAACAAAACAATATTCTGCGTTCTTAGGCAGGAAAAAAGTAAAGCGGAAATGAAATTTTTATTGAAAAAAAAAAAAAAAACACGTTTCATTGGATTGAGTTGCTTTAGGTAAAAATGGCTTTGTTAGTTGTTGTAAAGTATTGAGAATTTGTGGATACTGAAACTATTACAATTAATTAAGGTTTTTTGTTGAGATGAAAAAAAGTCAATGGCACGAGAGGTATTCGAACCCACGACCTTCGACTAGATACGCCGCTGCTCTACCACCTGAGCTATCGTGACCTCGATCCACTCGGACATCAACTCCTCATCTCAACCTCACCTTTTGAAGTTTCCCTCCTTCTTGCCATTTTTCAGGAGGAGTTGATGTCCGAGTGGATCGAGGTCACGATAGCTCAGGTGGTAGAGCAGCGGCGTATCTAGCCGAAGGTCGTGGATTCGAATCCCTCTCATGCCATTGACTTTTTTTCATCTCAACAAAAAAACCTTAATTAATTGTAAAGTATTAATTGGTCAAGCGGACCACGAAAGTAGTGAATTTAACTAAAACAATTGTTTTTTTTTTTTTTTTTTTTTTTTTTAAGTTCTTTGAGCCGGTTTTGAAACTATGAAATGAAATGCACCTGAGAAAAAAGATTTACTTAAAAAAAATGATATTTTTGTGTATTTACATTATATTTGGTGGGGCCGGGGATGTGGTCCAATGAAAGTTGTGGTATTGAAACTATGTCAAGCTGTGGGTGCTTTATTTCTTCTTTCTCAGGGGCCTAAAATAGTGAGAAAAGTATATAATGTTTCGTTACTTAGTTTTTTAAGGGAAAATTCGCAATAAACTTATTGTTATAATTTACAAATTCTTAGTTGTTAAAAGTTTAAACATTATGTTCGTTCTTTAACATCTATGAAACTTTTTTTATCTCTTATTTTTTTTTCAATCTTCATGTAATGGATTTTAATATATCAATAAATATATTGAACACTTTTTTCAAACTAATACCACAGACAAAATGGAAATGTAATTTTAAAGAAATAAGACTAGTGTAGGCCATTTATGAAAAACACTTTTATTTTTCTTTTCAGAAAAATTAAAATTCATTCAATCTACCGGTTTTGACAGCATTTAGAAAACAGCCAAAATAGCTAGCGTTATCGATTTTTGAATAAAGGAAATATAAAAAAAGTATTTATTTTGGGTGTCAGAAAAATCTCTGATTCTTTAAAGAAAAGCATATAAATCCCCATTTCAACACTACCAAACCGATGGTACGATTTTAATCGATTAAATAAAAAAAGTGGGTCTACCACATCACCGTGGTTTTATAATAATGCTCTTCGTTATGAGTAATTGTATGCATATTATATATATATATATATATATATATNTGTGTGTGTGTGTGTATGTGTGTTCATATTAAAAAGCTCTTGTAATCTAACCCGACATCTTTCTTTAATTTGCTCCTATATCAAACCCGTTAAAGATTACGACCGTTCATGATAACTTTCCCGTTCCAGTGGTGAAATCACGATAAACAGATTTTTGTGTCACGCACGAAAATGAAATAACACAGTGACAAGCCGTAAATCACAGCACACGCCACACCCTATATGTTTAATCTACATTTCTCATGTTCGATTCAGTGTAACGCTCTCGGACGAAATAATTGCTATGTTGCTTATAAATATCACGCAATTGAAAAAAAAGGGATTGTTTTGGGCTTTAAGGTGACTTACGAAGGGGACGACGAGTCGGTCGAGAGGCACAAAGATCATGATCATACACATGGCATCCCTCCGAGAGAAGAGCCGTGCATGGATGCGCCTTCTGAAGAAGACGGCTGTCGTGGCGGATTCGACACTGTCGCCTTTTTCAGAGGAGAACTGTTCGTCATCAAAAACAAGGTAAAAACAAAAATATATAATAAATAAACAAGCGTAAATAATATTTTTTTAAGATGCTATGGCGGCTATCCGAACCAGGGAAAGTTTTAGACGGATATCCTTTGGATTTTCACAGGCTCTTTAGCTCTCTGCCGAAATCTTTGGAAAAGATTGACGCCATTTATGAAAGGAGTGAAGACTCGAGCATCATGATATTTTCAGGTATTTGTTTTTCGTGTTTGTATTTACCTAGATTTATGTGATGTGCTACAAAGTCTGTCGTTTTTGGTACATTAAAATTTCTTTTTGTTTGCTACTATAGATTTATGGGCTATAGCTCAATATCCAACTTTTGGCGTTTTATTAGTCTCTACTTCTTTCATAGCGCCTCAGCTATTTTTAATGGATTCACCTTTTCTTTGCCTAAAAAAGTATTGAGGTTTCCTCTTTTTTTGTTAGAACCAACAGGCTGTTTTCTGTCTCTCTCAATATTTTAAACTGCTTTTTGAGCCAATGTCAGGTTTGCAGCCCTTCAATTACCCGGAGTTTTATTCGGGTTTTGATGCTAGATGGGTTTTGCAGCATTTTTAGGAGATAATTTCTTATCGACGTCTCTTTTTCCTAGAGTTTTGTTCTAGAAGATATCAGTTTCTAATGTGATCTCGGTAATTGATCCTTCTTTATTGCGGTTTGGAATTTTGCAGAAGGTTTTGGTACTACTGGTGCTACTGAGGACACTTACCTAACGAAAATATCAGTCTTCGATTTCCGTCTGGACTCTGTCCCTTTGACCAAATTATATCGTTTTCTTCTTTGTTCCGTCTATGTTTTTTGACAGAAAGATTCAGATTCTATCAACATCGAGTGATCCAAACCATAGGTTCATCGCCTCACAGTGCGAAGTGTCTGTCAGGCACACTGAACTTGGCGAAATGCTGAAATGCGAGGTAGACCACCCAGTTAAGATAGTCAGGGCTAACGATCAAATTACGAATAAAATAATGAGCTGATGGTGGGATAGTACACTGTGGGCTTGATCTTACTCAAACGCGTGTGAAGTATGCGCTATCTTCAGTAAAGAACTGTCTGTCTAATTTTCCTTTTAGGTCATTATAACGTAGGACCCGGTGGTTATTTTATATTTTTTAATGTGTTTTTAATGTTTTGGCTTTTCCAGTATTGTTTCTACATTTTATATTATTATTATATGTTGTGTTTTTAGAGGGGTGAATGTAATGTGTGGATGTAGGTTATGCATTTATGTGCTTTCCATGTTTACGAAAGAAATGTGCAGCAAGGTATGCACGATCAGACCTTGAGGACCTCGGTGGCCGAGTGGTTAGGGTTCTAGGTTCGAATCTCAGCTTAGCCCTTGAATTTTATTTCATAGCAATATGTAAAATAGTTCTGCAAATTGATATGACCCTTTGCCCGCGAAAACCGGGCGGTATAATGCGGTTAAGGCTCGGGGCCTTGAAAAGGGTACCTCGTGTCTTCATCCACATCCTTTTCTCTATCCAGGTTCCTTCGTTCTTCGCTGCGACCTATCCCAACCCTTGGGTAGAAGGGGGTGTCCGGGCACAAAATAACGGTGCAGCCCTGAGGGCGTGGCAATCTCTATAAAAGCACAAGCTGTACTCGTGTCGGCCTTGGGTCGGCATTGGCGGCGGATCCGTTATCAGAGGCACACGAGGGTTAGGGTACCAGATCCTGTCTCCATAGATGGGGGAAGGTGCAAAATCATACTACGGGGTAACAGAAATGTTCCAAAATCCACCCCCTGTTACACTGGGAATGGATTCGTAATGGTACGTGGCGACGCCCCTGGAGGGAATTTAGAGAAGAGGCTGTCTTCTACCTGTGACCTTCGCACGAAACTTGCGTATGACCACCGTTGTACACCCGGCCTCACGGGATACGGCGGATCGGACGGCAGCGTATAAGCGTTGAGTATGCTGTAAAGTCCCTCGAATGTGCGAGTAGTGGCGGATGGGAACGCGTAGTGATTCGGTTGCTCCTACTCAAGTATGCTTTGCACATAGGTTTAGGCTGAGCTCGATTGGAGGCTTTTACCGTAGGCGGTCTCCCTCTACGCGGGGGTGGTTAGCAATTCCACTTTAAACGAAACCGCGGCCGGAGCGGATCCGGTAGTTTCTACGCTAGAGAAGCCCCAATAGTCTGGGAGATAGAGTGGCCTTCTCTATCTAGGGAGTGCGCGGGAAACCAGGCTAATGAATTTCGGCTTACGTAGCCCTATGTGCGCGGCATACGGTCGGATGCTTAATGCAGACCACTCGGCATGGGCAATCGGAGAGCGAGGTTGTCATGGCCCCTCGGGGCTGAGCTGCTTCTACACCAATGCTGCGGCAGTAACACCATTCTGTCGTATGTGGAGGTGCGTCAGCTCTCATCTTGAGAATCGAAACGTCCGATAAGGCCGAATAGGCTAGGTGCGGACGTTAAAGATCCTCATTGTCCTTTTTAGGACCACCGAGTATACGGGAAAGCATGTCTGCGCAAACCAACGAATTGTTGGACATTAAGCTATTCTGTGTGAACAGGAATTACTATAGTATTTTGCGAAACTCGTTGCTAATAAAGTCGACAAAAAAACACAAACGAATTACCGAACTTTTATATCTGGACTTAGAAAATAATGCAATTAAAAACTAAAACAGAAAAAAGTTAATTAAAATATTGTTTTCTGAGTATCGTTAAACAGCAAATTTGCAATTACTTTCTGTTTTGTCATACTGACCGGCCAATTTAACAGCTCGTAGCCACCTGCGACAGGGCTTCCAAGAAAGAAGTTGGTTTAAATAAAGAATCTAAAGGAGAAAATTACAACTGGAGGTAATTGAGTTGAATTAAGCAATTTTAAAACACTTGGCGATGCTGGTAAAATGAGAAAAGTAAAAAGAATATGTAAATTAATTTAAATCGCCCATTTTCCTATTTGATTGAAATTACTTGTGCATCCCATCTATAGTTTAATTAACGTTCTGCACCAGCTGTTTCAGGTTTAATTTGTACTCTTGACTTATATTCGCTGTATTTTATTACCTAGCGATACTATTTAACTCTGTAATAATAAACCAACGTTTCTACAAACTCCATAAATGATATAAATTTTTAGAGATTTTTATGCTTATATCTTCATTAACATTGGTTTAAAAGCACAATAGTGCGCATAAAGTGATAGTATTTTAACAATAATGTAAATATTGTCCTACTTTAATGCGACAATTCAAAATTGAGCTGTTTATTCCGGTCTTTCTACTCTCATTTCCCCTATTAAAAACATGCACAAATACAAAACCGCTGTAAAAATGATTTTAAAGTTATTTAATTAATTAAAATCCATTACAAAATTGAATCTAGTTTGATGTATTTCCAATCTCTCCGATTCAGTCTCACAACCTCTTTCTTTTTTTAGGTTTCTCTCTCTTTTTTGCTCTCAATATATCTATTCAATAACTTATTTATCTATACTGCCGGTTAAACTATCTACCTACCTATTTTTCTCTCATTTTCTTTCTGTCTTTATCTGCCTGCCAGTCTATATTAGTTATCTTAGTCTTATCTTTCAAATCGTAATACATGTGTATCGCTAATACATCGCTCTGCGGTAGATCATGCATGTCTTCTCGAGGGCGACCTTCAGGACACGTTCCTGAACAGAGAACACGCTCTGGCTGTGTTCTTCGACCTTGAGAAGGCGTATGATACGACGTGGAGATACGCGATACTACGGAAGTGTCACGATTTTGGTCTAAGAGGTCAGTTGCCGAGGTTTCTCCGGGGTTTCTTGGAGAACCGCAGGTTCCGAGTCAGGCTGGGTACCGTGCTCTCTGGGGATCACGTTCAAGAGAACGGCATCCCCCAGGGTTCGGTGATGAGCGTTGCGCTTTTCTTAGTGGCGGTGAACGGAATTGCTGACGGCATCCCTCCGCAGATAAAAAGGATGCTTTTTGTCGACGACCTCTGCTTCTACCATTCCGGTAAGGATTTGGCGGAGGTCGGCGGCAGGGTGCAATCAGCAATAGACGTTGTGGCTGCGAGAGCCGAGGAAACCGGCTTCTCCTTCTCCTCGTCGAAGACGGTTTGCGTCCACTTTTGCAGATTAAGGAGGGCCCNAAAAAAAAAAAAAAAAAAAAAAAAAAAAAAAAAAAAAAAAAAAAAAAAAAAAAAAAAAAAAAAAAAAAAAAAAAAAAAAAAAAAAAAAAAAAAAAAAAAAAAAAAAAAAAAAAAAAAAAAAAAAAAAAAAAAAAAAAAAAAAAAAAAAAAAAAAAAAAAAAAAAAAAAAAAAAAAAAAAAAAAAAAAAAAAAAAAAAAAAAAAAAAAAAAAAAAAAAAAAAAAAAAAAAAAAAAAAAAAAAAAAAAAAAAAAAAAAAAAAAAAAAAAAAAAAAAAAAAAAAAAAAAAAAAAAAAAAAAAAAAAAAAAAAAAAAAAAAAATACATGTGTATATATTTTTTATATCGCACTCACAATCTGTCTCCATTGTCCCCGCCTGTCTTTATGTCTCCTTGTATTTCCTTCTCTCTCTCACTCTCTCTTTCTACCCCCCTCCATCTCCCTTCCACACTTGTACGAGTCTTTTTGTCTCTCTTTATGTCTGATTATATATCTATCTATTTATCAATTTGCTTATCTATCTATCTGTATATTTATCTATCTATCTGTCAAATTATCTATTTCTCTCTCTATGTCATTGCTCCGTCTTTATCACGCTCTCACTATCTTATTCTCATCGTATGTTTTTTTAGTTTTAATAATCGAATAAGATGTGTATTTATTTCTTAATATCTTATTCAATCTTTAACTGCCTCTGTCTTATTTTTCTTTTTTATGATCGGTTTTTTCTGTTTTGGTTGTCTGACTGTCTGTATCTCTCCCTCTCTGTCTCACTGTCTCTCTCTCTCTTTCTCTCTCTCTCTCACTCTCACTCTCTCTCCTCCCCCCCATCTCCCTTCTTCTCTTGTACGAGTCTGTTTGTCTCTCTTTCTGTCTGGTTTTATATCTATCTATTTATCAATTTGCTTATCTATCCATCTGTATATTTATCTATCTACCTGTCAAATTATCTATTTCTCTCTCTATGTTATTGCTCTGTCGTTATCACTCTCTCAATATTTTATTCTCATTGTATATGTTTTTTAGTTTTAATAATCGAATAAGTTTAATTATCTTCATTTTATCGTACGATTAGTTTTTTAGTTTTATGAAAGGAAAACGTATGTGTATACGTTTTTCTAGATCTTACTCAATCTATCTTTGGACTTGTCTTTCTTTCTCATTTTCTTTCTATCTGGTTTTTAGTTTGTCTGGTTTAGTCTGTCTGTTTCATTTTGTCTCAACCCTTTCTTTGTCTGAAACAGGTCCTTCTCTCCCTTTCTCCTTTATGGCTTTCCTGTCTCGTCGTTTTCTGTTTTTTTTTTGCCTGCCTGTCTCTCTCTCTCTCTCTCTCTCTCTCTCTCTCTCTCTCTCTTTCTCTTTACTTCTTTGCTCGTATATTTATATTCACTACCTATTGTTAGGAAAAAATGTAATTTTCTATAGTAAGTATTCTTCTTTAAATGACAATATAAGTTTCCAAAAGAAATAAAACTTTCATTTTCTAACTTTTATAGTAAATTTAAAAAACCCGGTAATTATAGCAATGTTTAAAAATAGAGCTTCATAAAGAATACTGTTAATTTTTTTGGGGGGTTGAGTATGATAAAAGCAGGCGGGTGCACTAGTAAGCCCACCCTGTGCATGTTTAAATATTATGTTTATTCTTCAATTTCTATTGTGAACGGATATCTTCTTTATATAACTATTGCGTATACTCATTTCTTTTATAACAAAATTGCAATAAAGTAATACTAATTTTCGGAAAATATTGCGCAGTGCTAATAATATAGTTTTAAATATATAAATATACATATATAGCTGTCTAATAAAAATACGTAGTTAAAGTAAACAAGGTAAAACATAATTTTGAATAATTATGTTATTTTACCTTGTGTTCTTAAAAAAGTTATCATCTGGCCTATTTTAAATCGTTAAGAGGTTATTTTAAACATTAAATTTTATTAGAAACACATTGATACAAGAAGACTCAAGAAGGTAATTATGAACGAGTTTAAAATGTTATTTTGCCCTGAGAGTCCAAACATTATAATATAATTCTCTAATGACAAGTAAAGTGCTGGTTGAGTATGTTCACCGCAACCTTTGGATTTTATGAAAATTGCGTAAACGTTGCCTTCGCACTGAAGAGAGCTGCCAGGGTCTCCGACGCACATGCTTTCGTTAGAATACTTAGAAGTAACGCAGTATATGTACCCTTTCCTGAATTCTTCGCCTATTTCCGGGTACAGTTTTTGGCAGTCTTCTTGCGGGAGGAAACGCACACGTGTCGCTTTCAAGAAAGCGTTGTTGTTAACGAATGATATATTACTGGTCGATGAAACCACACCGAAGCGTAAACCGTCACATTCGATTTTCGACTCGCCCAGGGAGTACCATTTCTTTTTAAACACATCCGTCGATGTGCTAAAAACTGAAAGCGGTTTGACATAGTCGTTGATTTTGAAGGGTTCAAACAGGTAAACGACCGCGATATCGTTCAGTACTGTGTGCTCGAGCCATTTGATATCCGGGTGCGACTTTATGGAATTTAACGATCTCTTTTCATACCCGATTTCGTTCGCCGTCGTGAACCTGCTACCGCCGACGGCATACAGACGATTTGCTGCGATTTGAACCTGCGCTCCGTCTTTGAGCTGATAAAAAGAGTGCGCTGCGGAAAGTATTTTGTCTCCTGTTATTACCGAGCCCATTGATACCGGTTTGTTTGAGCTACGCGAAATAAAAACGACGCTGTAAGGGAATTCTTTATATTGGGCCTTTCTCGTGCCCACGATGTTAACGATCTGTCCCGTGGACGATACAAAATTGACATGATCCATGAGCCAAATCCATCCAACAATTCTCAGGACGATGTTAACTGGCATATCGTGTGGATAATTAAAACCTAATAAAAGAAAAAAATGATTTACCAAAAATTGTTTAAATTACAAAAAAATAAGGTAATAACCAAAAATAAAATTATATCATATGAACCAAATAAATACAAAGGTATATAAATTCTACACAAAAAATAACAAAATATGCACAGCAGGAGTGAGAGAGAGAGAGAGAGAGAGAGAAAAAGTGAGAGGGAGAGAGAGAAAGAGAGCGAGTGGAAGAGAGAAAAGTAAGAGTGAGAGAGAGAAGGAGTGAGAGAGAGAAGGAGTGAGAGAGAGAAGGAGTGAGAGAGAGAAAGAGAGAGAGTGAGAGAGAAAGAGAGAGAGAGAGGAAGAGAGAAAAGTGAGAGGGAGAGAGAGAAGGAGTGAGAGAGAAAAAGAGAGTGAGTGAGAGAAAGTGAGAGGGAGAGAAAAAGAGAGAGGGAGAGAGAGAAGGAGTGAGAGAGAGAGAAAAAGTGAGAGGGAGAGAGAGAAGGAGTGAGAGAGAGAAAGAGAGAGAGTGAGAGTGAGTGAGCGAAAGTGAGAGGGAGAGAAAAAGTGAAAGCGAGAGAGAGAAGGAGTGAGAGAGAGAAAGAGAGAGAGTGAGAGTGAGTGAGAGAAAGTGAGAGGGAGAGAGAGAGGGAGAGAGAGAGAAGGAGTGAGAGAGAGAAAGAGAGAGAGTGAGAGTGAAAGTGAGAGAGAAAAAGTGTGAGGGAGAGAGAGAGTGAGAGAGAGAGAGAGAGGGAGGGAGAGAGAGAGAGAGGGTGGGAGGGAGAGAGAGGGAGGGAGAGAGAGAGAGTTTCTAGGTTAAAAGCTGCATTTAATACTGAGATAACACCGTTTAATAAAATATAAAAGAAATGGCAATAAGCAATACTAAACAAATATACAGGGAAAAGAACTGATAAAAATTAAATACCTTGTCTTCAGCCTTCTCAGAAGTATTCTAACCAAATTTTGAGGGAAAATTGAGCCTAAAAATTACGACAAAATACGAATTTATAAATTTGGGATCGTGGTGGCTGAGTGTTTAGAGTGTTCTACTTGTACTTTGCCACGCTCGCGGTTCTGGTTCGAATCCCGGCCGAGCCAGTGGCGTTTTATTTGATAATGGTTTGAGAAATATTTTGTAAAGTGGTTTTGATCTCTCGTCCATGACGTTGGATGTTAAGCCCTTCTGTGTGTCAGTAATTTCTTTACTTGTACAAAATTATGCATATGCATGTTATACTTATTGGGTATCAGCAACAACATAAAAATGTCCTCACAGACCTCAACATGTTTCGGCAAATTGTCCTCTGTCATTTAGAACTATCTCATCTGCATACCCTAGGATACTTAAATACTATTTTTTTATTTAACTCCATCTACCTTTACATCTTCCTTGCCATTGACTCCAGCATGATTACAGGGAAACGTTATTGGATATACGACGGATTTGAATTTCTGGAAGGCAGCCCGCGGCCCATAACCGACTACGGCCTACCGGAAGAAGTCGACAGTGTTGATGCCGTCTTGTCTGGCGGTAACTCCGAGGTGTTCGTTTTCAAGTGAGTCGATTTATTAAAATTTTTTTATTAATTAAATTTATTTATTAAAACTGGTTTTATTAGCCTAACCATTAATTTTACAATAATATTATAGAATAAATAAATGTTTACATTCTTATAAACCCATTGGTACAATAAGATTTACATTTCACTATTCATTTTTAACTACACAAGTTTATATGGCTTTGTTAGTTTTTGACCATGTTTCGATTATGTAAGAGTTTGGTCGCTTTCACATTCTGGTGCTGGCTCAGGCGAGCCTGGTGTTTGGCGGCAAATCTTTGTATTTCCGCCGTGACTTCAAGGATCTTAAGATCCCTATGTAAGTCCTTATTCGTTATGTACCAAGGTGCATTGACCATGTTCCGTAAGTTTTTTTTTTTTTTAGTGTTTGTACGATTTTGATATTGCTGTGTTTGGTACAACCCCATAATGCTGAGTGATCAGAATTTAGACCAAAGTTCTTTTTTTATTTATTTAGACAAAATAATTAGTGGATGTTTAATCAATTTCATTTTACAGAAGTGACAGGTTTTGGACGTTCAACGAGACGACGAAATCGCCTGTTTCTAAAAACCCAAAGCCTTTGGCATTGTTTAAAAGCTTACCCGATAATCTAGACGCAGCACTTTTGTACAAAGAAGGTAAATTTGTATTACCAACAAAAGTATTCTTGATAATTTTTAGAAAATAGAAAATAACATTTAAGACAGTTAGGGTCATTACAAACTATTATATTCACAAGTTGAGTGTACAGTCTTAATGAAAATCTTTTTGATGATACTAAGACAGAAAATATTAAACGTGGGCATCTTTTTATTATTTTTTTTATAACGTGTCATCTTGTCCACATCAGTTAATAATATCAAAAGCTGCTTATTGTTTTTCTCTTAATATTGATTACAATGAACTGACATTTTTCTCAAAAAACAACAAAACATGAAAAGCAATTCATTTTGTGTACAATTTTTGCCCCCTGTCGATTATCTAATTAGAGGAAATTATATAGCAATATTACTGAAGTTGTAGGACAAGTTATTAACTCTATGAGTGCTTAGTCCAAACTGCAAGTTGGCAAACAGTTGTGCGCTGGGATAACTGGTCAAACTTCGATTAAGATTCCTTTAAGTCGAATCCGTGCTGAACAAAGTTCGCTCAAATTTCTCGCAATACTTTATCTATGAGCAACTCATTTAGGCGTTCAATCATTTCAACATTCATAGTCTTACACCCTTAATAATTCACTCACTCTTTAGTTGTTTGATCATTCACTAACTTACCCTACTTAACAACTAAATACAACTCCTGTTTACTCATTCACAACTTCTTCTTCTTCTTTTTTACATTCGCTAATCTACCCGCATAGTAATTGGGACTCACACTGGAGGATGCATTTTCAAAATCGGTCTAATTTAACTTAATTAAATATGTTTCAATTAATTAAGGTTTTTAGTTGAGATAAAAAAGTCAGTGTCACGAGCGGGATTCGAACCCACGACCTTCGGCTAGATACGCCGCTGCTATCGTGACCTCGATCCACTCGGACACTAACTTCCCATCTCAACGCCACCTTTTGAATTTTCCCTCCTTTTTGCCATTTTTCAAATGTCGTGTAATCAATTTGTTTCTCGGCGACAAATGAAATGGCCACGGAGAGCTTTACCGAAGATGTACTTAATTTTAATTTATTAAATTCACTAGTTTTCGTGGCCCACTTGAACCCGAGTGGGTTCGAATCCCGCTCGTGACACTGATTTTTTTTATCTCAACTGAAAAACTTAATTAATTGAAAGACATTAATTGGTCAAGCAGACCACGAAAACTAGTGAATTTAACTAAACACGTTTCTATCATTTAAGAATTCGTTCATTTAAAAGTCTCTTATGTATTATTACTTTGTATTTATCGGCAACTTTACTAATTTCGTCCATTATAAACTTTTATGTCAAGTTACTAGATGTATTTTTTCATATTTCAGAGAAATATTTCATCAAGGGAGACGATTTCTGGGTATCCGATGATAAATCAGGACTCACAGTGAGGAAGTACCCGGTTTCTGCTTCAAATTTCTGGATCGCTTGTTAAACCACAAGTGCTATTTCTTTCAACAAAAGAGAAGAAAATATACGAGAAAAAAAAACAGTTTTCAGCTTCTGATAGAAGCGATACCGTTTATCTGTGATCTAACTATTTTATAATTTTTTTACTTGATTTTTATATAATAAACCAGTTCTATGCTGAATACCATGTCGAATTTGTGCCAAAACATTAGCCAAATGTAATTATAACAATTAATGTTAGTTAAATAGATTTTTTAAATTTGAATATTGCGTTTAAAATTTTATTGTTTTTTATTTTTCTTGATCCTATATTAATAATATATAAATAATTTTATTACACAATGATAAACATAATCAAGACGAAAAGGCAATTCTGATGCTGACGTATTCCATTTGGCACTATTACTACTAAACTAGGTTGGTAGATATGAATTGGGAACTGAACGAGATAGATAGAGAACGAAAGAGGGACGTAGAAAGAGAGTGAGAGAGAGACAGAAAGACTGACAGACAGACAGAGTGAGAGAGAGAGCGGGAGAGAGAGAGAAGTTCGAAAACCAGACAGGCAGGTAGAACGAAAAGAAGAAGAAGAAGAAGAAAAATAACTTTATTCTGGGACTGGTAAAGAATAATTTACATGAAATAAATAAAGGAAGTTCCTTCTATGAAGTTAAAAGTAAAAAAATATATAGAAATCTTGGCACAATGTATACCAGTAAGGCTGGCCAGAAGAGAAAATTACAAGAATATTAAACAAAAATAACAAATGTTAACGTGAGGTCTCTGCTTGGAGTGAGAGGAGGTGATTATACAGGTGGGATTTAAAGGAGGAAAAGGAGGCAGCGTGACGAATAGAAAGGGGAAGGGAGTTCCAGAGTTTAGGGGCTCGGATCAGAAAGGATCTTTCGAAGGTATGGGTTGTATGTTGCGGAAGGATAAGGTCGATTGGGGATGAGCGGGTCTTACGAGTGAGATGTGAGGAGTTGAATTGGAGGGATTGGATGATGTAAGGAGGACGACGAGAGTGGATGGACTGGAAAAGAAAGCAACCTAGGAAATACTGTGCACGGAAGGAGGGGAATAGCCAGGAAAGTTGGGAATACAAACCCGACACCCGAGATCCCCGTGGAGTGCCGTACACAAATCTTACGCAACAATTCATAATACGCTTCAATCGCGCGTTCTCCCCCTCCGAGTGACCACCGTATGCCAAACAGCTATAATCGAAGAAGGGAAGTATAAGGGAATATACAAGGAGTTTGCGGGTGGAGAAAGGTAAGAGAAGCCAGGACCGACGAAACAGGCAGAAGGAGGCAATGGAATTGCGGGAAAAACGAAGGGCAGAAGGGGATGGGATGGTTATTTAGCATGAAAGGTGGGATGCTGGCAAATAAGGAAAAATACGTATGAAGAGAAAGAATAAGTTAAAAAAGAGAGAGCTTATGTCCTTAATTCAAAGAATAAATTTGATGAGAAAATGCCTGTGAGAGGAAGAGAAGGAGAGTGTGTAAAAGGGGACTGGGAAGAAGAAGATGAAGAACGAACAAAAAGAAAATGAGAACTAGACAGAAAAAATGACAAATGGAGATATATATAAAGATAGATAGATAGAGAGATAGATAGATAAATAGATAGATAGAGATAGATAGATAGATAGATAGAGATAGAGAGAGAGAGAGAGAGAGAGAGAGTGAGAGAGAGAGTGAGAGAGAAAGAGTGAGAGAGTGGGAGGGACAGAGAGAGAATAAATGGAAAATAGAGAGTGTATATTGTGTGTTTCCTGTGTTTACGGGTGTGTGAGAGAGAGTATGAGACAGAGAGAAATAGAGAGAGAGAGAGAGAGATAGAGTACGAGAGAGAAGGGAGTGATGGGACAGTTTTAAAACCAGAAGAGAATCGAAGAAACCATTTAAAAGAAACAGTCAAATGGATAGTGTAAATTAGTGAAAATAAAGTGATCTGAAAATGAAAGTCCTAAATTTTGGTAGGTCGGTCCTTCCTTTAGGGAATCAGAAAGATCGAGATAGCTGTAAATATTATTTGTTTATGGATATATATTATTTGTATAGACATTTGTTCTACACCATCAATTCTCTATCTATGTGGTAACTATCTCTCAATTTACCGTTTACACTTGGTTATTGCTGTTTACAGAAATATAAAAATTTAATGATCAATTTAACTATCAAGCAGACTCCTTTCTCTGCTAGAATATCGCTACTGGATGTACAGTTCATGATACCACTATTGCAAAAAAAAAAACTTGTTCAGTCATACCTCCCTGGCTACTACCAAAACAAAAAGTAATCTTGTCTCTGAATATGCATAATAAAAATGACAGTCCTAGCTGTATATATATAAACAAGAATTATTAACCATCAAGAGTAAGCTACCCTCAGTAACGTACGTATATTCGGACGGCTCTAAAGGGTCCCATGGAGTGGGAGCAGCTTGTGTTGTTGGAGGTAGAAAATATTTATTCTCCTTAAACTCAATAGCGAGTAACTATACAGCTGAAATGACGGCAATAATTAAATCACTGAATGTTGATTGCTCGAACAATACACTGGTCGTATGCACTGATTCGACGTCCGCCCTACCCGTTCTCAAATAACCCCATGATCCAGGATGCCCTTTATTCTCTGAGGAGTCTTTCACAGCGAGGGTCTTACGTCGAGAATTTGCCGGGTTCGCTCCGTGAAGACGGGCGGGGTTACTTAATGTAATGTTGAATTAAAATGGGCGCCACGCTGTTTAATCTGACACGGAAACAGCGAACCGTAAAAAAAAAGAAAAAAAAGAACACAATATTTACCCAAGGAAACAAAAAACACATTTATTCCAAAGGAAACTAAAATATTAAACATAGATCAATCTTAATTCTCTATGGGTAACATTTTATCAAACTGACACACTAAATGAACCTAAATTATCTTTTTTTTTTTTTTTTTTGACTTCATTTATTTATATCTACAACTGTACATGCATGATATACAACCAGCAGATTGGATTTCAGACTGTGTGTTTGGCATTATGGGCGTTATAGAGAAAGCTACCCATTGGCAGCCGCTCTGGATTAATGAAATTATATTAATCATTTAAGAGGTCTCTTATCCATATTCTTTTCAGACGTTTACGTGGTAATTGTGGGGAATGGAGTAATTGTATTTGTGTGTTGGTGTGATTTTGTAATTTACTATGAAAACGTCTGTAATATGTTTTGATGGATGAAAAAACTGTTGGGATTTGAAGATCTCTGTGAAGTGTATTATTGTTTACATAAAATGGGGCAGAAACAATTAGTCTTAAAATTTTGGATTGAAAACTTTGTAATCTTTGAATATTGGAATACTTGGCCGATCCATATACTTGGCACCCATACATCCAAATTGGTTTGAGTAGGTATGTGTATGTCGAAAGTTTTGATTTTAATGGTAAATTTTAACCATCCCTAAATTATCTTAAAATCTAAATAAACATTCATTTAAAACTAAACTTTCCTGGGAACCAGTGTACAACTATGCTTCTTTTTCCCAACGATTGAAAACCCCCCGCTTCCAGGAAAATGTGGAGCACCTTCTCTGAAGTTGAGTGGGTCCGCGGTCACTTCGTTGATCAAGGAATTGATGGTTTTCTATGATTCGGCCAGGCCGTAGGGATCTACGTCTCAACGCACACTGTCCTCTTTTCGACTCACTCCTCTACCCTCCTCTAAACTTATCCTAGGCCGTCTTAATTTTGATTGACCCACCGCCAACTTTAGTTTAGGAGGCATTATAATTTAGGAGGCATCCCGGTTAAATAATAATAATGCATACATACTCTGTTACGAAGGGAAGAGTGTCATTTTTGTTTGGATCCCAGGGCATATGAATATTTTAGGCAACAAACTAGCGGACAGAGCTGCCAAAGAGGTTGCAGTAAATGGCACCAAAATCAGCGAGATTAAATTCCGCTTTGGAAATTAAAGTATGGACACAATGGCAAAAGGTTTGGTCAGTTGTCACAGATAACAAGCTTCGGGAAATAAAATTTACTGTTCGAATGTGGCCGTCTTCATTTAGAGTTAGAAGAAAAGAAGAAGCGATCCTAACTAGGCTGAGAATCGGGCACTGTAGAGCCACCAAGGGATACTTGATGGCTCGTCAGCCACCATCGATCTGTAATTTATGCAGTGAGACTGTGACTCTAAAACATATGCTTATATCATGTCGCCTATAGGACAGTATCAGAAATCAAAAAACCGCTTTCACTTTTTAAATGAAACTAATCAACAACATATAAACGAACAATGTGTAACATGGGACTGCCTGTGGCCGGGGACGTGTCGTGGGGCTGGGCATCCTGGGGGGTCTTGTGCGGTGCGCCCTTTTGGTGTGTACTGGTTCCTCGATCTTCTTTCCGCAGGGATCCTCTTAAAAGATACGGGCTAACAAGACCCTTGGTGGTTCGCGGCACTCCAAAAAAAAAAAAAAAAAAATTGTTAGTTAAATTTTATGAGCAATATGTCTTATCATATGTCTAATTATTATAAACATCTGTACTCTCAGGAAGATGATAATAGTAATAAATGAAAACCTTTACTTATTTCTTTATAATTATCTGTTACCAATATGAAAATATTTTGACGATAGAAAATTGAAGTTAACTCAAATAAAAAATTTAATATAATTGCTCAAAAATGTATAACAACCGTGTTATCTCAAGCAGGCACAAAAGTGTAGAATGGAAAGAACCGTTCAATATGACAGAAGTTTGTCCAGACAGGCCGTACATTGTTATGTAACTCTCTAATGAAAGATAAAGGGCAGGTTTAGAGTGTTCGCCGCAGCCGTCAGATTTGGTAAAAATGGCGTAGATATGACCATCGCAGTAAAGCGGACTTCCAGAGTCACCGACACACATGCCTTCGTTGGAATGGATGGAAACGGCACAGTAGGTCTTCTCCTTTTTGAACTCTTCGACCAATTTCGGGTAGATTTTGCTGCAGTCCTTGTACGTCAGGAGGAGAACGAGTGAGACCTTCAAGTACGACGAGGTTATAATGTAGGTCGAATTGCCGGTTGCTGTAGTCGATCCGAAGCCGATGCCGTAGCACAAGGTGTGCAACTTACGCAGCGAGTCCCATTTTCTTTTGAACACTGTCGGGTCTGAGCTATACACTGTTAACGGTTTGATTAATTCACTTATGGGGAACGGCGAATCCAAATGTGCGATAGCGATATCGTTGATGATGGTGTAATCGAGCCATTGGAATTCAGGGTGCGGCTCTTGAGATATGATCGCCCTTTTTTGGTAGCCGTATTCCAACCGGTGTGTGTACCTGGAACCGGCGACGGCCCAGATGATTTTCAAGTCGACTTTTACCATTTTTCCTTCTTTCAACTGCTGAAAGCAATGCGCGGCGGAAAGTACCTTTAGCACTGTTACGACCGAACCCATGCAGACAGATTGGCTATTGCTACGCCGAATGAAGACGACTGCGAAAGGGAATTCTTTGTATCGAGCCTTCCGTCCACCTATGATCTTAACCCCGGTTTTGTGGTATTGCTGTTGGTTAAGAAATGGGCTCACAAGTTCTAACATCCATTGCAAAATCAAAATCGACAAAAAAATGCGCATTTTATACCTTAATTTCGAGTTAAAGAAAAATAAAAAAACATATGGATCAATAATTAAACTTGTTCTAAATTACGATCATATGCATAGAATAAACCATCTGGAAAGTGGAAGGTACAAAATAATTAATATATGCAGGTTGGAATAATTAATAAACCATATCCTTTTACATGATTGTTTACCATAAATGTAGTGCTTCACTTATTTATATATCTTCTGGATTCGCGTTAAATCAAATCAATTCATCTTGAAAAAAAAAATAGTTCTCTGTAATTTAAAGAAAAGTTGAAATAGTGTGGTACGGCCAGGAAAGAAGTATTTTAGAAAAATACTTTTTCATTTTTTTTTTGCCCCCGGGTCGACTTTTATTCGACCGATATTCAGGGCTTGGGTGAATTACAAACATATTTTGATTGGAAAAAAATTATATTGTACAATACAGATGTAAATAATATAAATTTTGAACCAAATATTTCATACTTACATAAATGTGTGATACTATTCTTGCAGTGTCATGTTTGTTTTGCGTGAAATCATTGTGGAACATAAATTTGTATTATGCTGTTTTTATTGGGATGCAGTAAATCAGGCCAATTTTCTTTGAAAATATGTGGTTTTATTTGACTCAAGAGAGGCCGAGAATGGTGATTTTTTAAAATTGAATTTGGGATTCTGGGTTCATACAGTGAGTACAGTTACTAGTACTAAAAAAGTAAGTTAATTATTATGGGCGATAAAGAAGGAAAGGGAAATATAAAAATAAAGTTTAATTGTTTTAAATGCCTACGCCTGAGTTACATGTATCTGTTCTGTATTTAATGCTTTTTAGAAAGATAAAAAGAGATTTATTTGTAAAAAATATTACTCCAAAAATAATTTCACTGCCTGTCGTAGTTGAGTTACTTTTCTAAAGTAAATAAATAACATTATTAATAATAAAACTAATTAATAATAAAAATTATTAGTCAAATAAACCAATAAAATATATTAAAAAATGTTAATAGAAACAATTGCTTTGATGTAAAAAAATATAGATTCCAAGAATACAAAAATAATCAATAATAGTTCTATTCTTAAGCTTAAAAAGTTGCTTTGCTATGTATTAAATAAACATAAAAACTAGAAGAAATAAAAGAAACAAACATTTGCACTACATCTATAATAAACCCAAATATGGTAGATGTAAAATGTATATTTAAAAAATATAAAAATAAATATAAAAACGACAAAGAGAAATAATAATGTATTTGTATGTTTGTCATTAAGCGTGTTTATGACGTAAATCATCTGCATCACATAATATTGAAAATAAATGTTATTTTGAGATCGTGAGGTGCGGTCTGGTGTGACGTAGATTTTAGAAAAACATTATCATGACTACGTTTCGACCTTTATTGAGATCATCTTCAGGGCGTGGGATTTATAAGCATTGTTTGAAGTTTACGAATATATGTAGGATGTGGAAAAAATATGAATTTATACAATGCTAGAAAATTTTAGACTAAAAAAATGGATTTATACAATGTTAGAAAATTTTAGATTAAAAAAAGATGAATTTATACAATGCTAGAAATTTTTTTTGATACAATCAAAGTATTAGTACTCACTCAAAGTGTTTGTTCCGTGTAGATGTGTCAGTCTTGTGAGTCGTGTTGAGAGTGCCAGCGAGATGTTGCTGTTTTATGCATATATACGTTGGATTTTGATGCGGAGGGGAAGGAAATCGAAATAGAAAGACATTTTTATATGAGGAGTCGGCTTCTTTGACGCGAAAGAAGCCGACAATGGGAAACACTTGGGTAATGGTTCGGCCTGATTATCTTTTCAGGATTCTATAGACGGGGATAATTACGGAAAGGAAAGAAAAATTGTTGAAAAATTAGACTATGTAGAAATGTTTGTGTGGAATGTAATGATTGTTTTATATGCTATTTGTTTTGTGTGATCTGATGATGATATATCGATAATATACATATATATTTTTTTAAATCTAAAATTTTCTAGCATTGTATAAATTTATTTTTTTATCTAAAATTTTCTAGCATTGTATAAATTCATTTTTTTATCTAAAATTTTCTAGCATTGTATAAATTCATTTTTTATCTAAAATTTTCTGGCATTGTATAAATTCATATTTTTTCCACAGCCTATATGTATTTGTAAAATTCCAACAATGTTTATAAATCCCAGGCCCTGAAGATTATCTCAATAAAGATCGAAACGTTGGCATGGTAGAAAAAATGTTTTTCTAAAATTTATGAAAGGTATTGGTTTCTCTAAAATCTACGTCACACCAAACCGCACCTCACGATCACCAAATAATCATTAACTTTCTGCCAGTAAACATCACACATTCAAAATAAATTTTGTATGCAGATTTGAAAACTAATCAACCAATAAACTAATCAGCTAATTATGTTTCTTTTATAAGATTGTTTCACCATAAATTGATTATTTTACTATTTTCTATACTTTTTGGTTGTTATTTCTCCTCAGTACTCTGTACTTTTAACAAATTTTTTTGTAATTTTATATTTCTGATTTTTCTTATATAATAATCTCATTCCTCATAATTAGAGGTTCAGAAGTCTGTGTAATTGATGTTTCGGTACTTTGCTGATATCGCGCAAAAAATAATCCAGACATGCTAATAAGTACGTATTGCTATAAGTTAAAGTTATTTTTTTAACACATGAAGGACATTGAAAATTTTAAAAATGTGTTTGTTGTGTTCAGTCTGAATTAAAACCGGTCATCAGAGAGAAAAATGGCCCATTTTCAAAGCCCTCATGTATCATGCTAATAATATTCAATTATTCAGGAATGATATCTTAAGGAGCTAGTGACTGCTTTCCAAACTCCAATTTTTTAATATTTAAAAAATGAAACAACGTTCATTAAAGTACAGAATAAAATAGGTTGTATGATATTTTAAGCTTTGGAAGCGCTACCAATATTGTTTTTTAAGTTTTGAAATAAGCGCTCTGGGTTTGGCTTTGATGAACTTCCAACTCAACATACCCTCTATTTTTCTTTATATTCTGTGGCGAAAATTGCCCACCCAAGTAAATAATTATTTATTGACTCCACTCACTGCAAGAGGAATCGGAACGTTTTGAGAGAATAATTTCGGCAGGAAAGGAAAAAATCCGAGCTCGACCAGAAAATCTCTGACCCAGAAAAGTTGTATTTTTTCACGTTTCGATACTTTCTTCAACAGTGTTTACTATAAATCGATTATTTCTCCGTTTTGTAAAACAGTCGTGGACAAACTGAGCGATATTTTTAAAAAAGCTCCCAGGGGCAGAGAAATAAATAATTTTGTAAATCAAATTTGTAAAATATCACAACTGCCAAACATTAAGGAAAATAATGGCTATGTTTTTCGTTATCTCTGAATTAAGATCAACTCCACAAAAACTTGCATTTAGGAAAAATATTAATACGCCGTACTGTTTTCAAAAAAATCTTTTCTAGCGATTTTAACTTCGTATTTTGCCAGCAGTATTCCTATTATGAAGTGTTATTAATGTTTCGTTAATTTTGGAATATTCTGAATACTCGGGGCGTCGGTGGCCGCAACGGTTTAGGCTTTGACAAGGCGCTCATCGCTGTAATGTGAAGGTCCCGGGTTCAAATCCAGCGGCTCTGCATTCGAACCCGACATACTTACAAAAGGGCTTTTTTCAAAAACACCGGCACGCCGAGGGTTGATATAACCTCTGCTGTTGCGAACCCTCGTAAAAAAATTATACTTGAGCGAATTAAAAAAAAATTAAACTAAACGAAAAATAAACAAACCATACTCCATGATTATTCTAACCATCTGCCAAAGAACTGGTCTCGAATTGATTTGATTACAATTTACTTTTTATTTTTCAGTATTAACTATTGAGTCATCTGATTCCAGCCAGGATCATTTTATTAGTAAATCAGTCTCGTCGAGCATAAGTTTGCTGGAAAGAAATTTTTTAACTCGCTCAAATACACAAAAAGTCGTATATTTACTCTCAAGTCGGCACATATTTCACTGAGAACATATCTTAGAGGCAGTAGTTAGATAAGGCTTAGCGTTCAACCTGACAAGCTCACCACGAAGCCTAAGTAAACATCCTGCGGTGTATAAATCCACTGAATTTTGGCTCGCACATTTCACACCTGGTGCAAGTCCTCTGCAAATTTTAAAGTAAAAAAAAACGCTTTGAACCCTGACAATATCTTTTTCGCATCAACTTGTAGTACTTTCGGAAATGATTGAAAACAGCGTACTTTTTCTTTGGATACAACGTAAAAAACGAACTTTTGCTATCAGTAATGTTTAACAAAAAACCGTTATTTTTCCCTGAGGTGCTTTTTTCCATTTTAACCCAGTATCTATTTGACAAGTCCATAGATTTGGTCATGATATTGTGTTACAATATAAAATTGAATGTTTTGATTTTACTGATTAATTTAATACCATTAAACATACAGTATGTGAACAATGTAAATATGTATGAATATACTGTATGATTGACACATGGACACTTACTTTCGGACCAAACTGAGTGAATGGTGTGTGAATAAGTAAGAATGTTTTATGATTTAATATATAATAATATAATAGATAATATATATATTAATANGAAAGTTCTCTATTTTGAAGATATTCGTCAATTTAGGTTTTTTCAACTTTTCACTACCATACCATATAAAAACGCTTACAACTTCCAAAATGTTGAGACCACAACAAACCCAATTACAATATTTGAATGAACGCTAAATTTGCTGTAAGATACTTCTATTTGCAATAATCGGAAGGTCATAAAATGTTAGCCAATATCAGTTGGAACATGTCAAAATTACAAAATTTAAAATAAAAAAATACCTACAACTTGTCAAATTTCACAAAAACTTCTTCATCTAATATGCTTTACGTTGATTTTTCAACTCAACTAGAACGTTATTTAAAAACCTGGATATATCCAGGTAGTTTTGTTGTAGGTATTTTTTTGTAACCTCAGTAGAACGTGCAATCATGACCAAAAGTTTAATTTTTGTAATTTTGACATGTTCCAACTGATAACGGCTAACATTTTATGTCATTCAGATTATTGCAAATAG